AAAAAAAAAAAAAAAAAAAAAAAAAGCGGGAAGTACAGAGAAACAAAGGAAAAATGAACAATGGGTATGGCGATTTACGAACCTGGATGAATGGCCGAATTCTGTTTCTACCACAGCTTCAAGCTATGCTCGCACTTCTTCTCCGTCGCCTTCGCCTCCCCCGTTACCTTTTTCACCCAAATCTCGCACGATACTTTTGCCCTAATCGTCCATGTCTTCATCCAGTATAATTTCATCTTAATCGGAGCTCTCAAATCCACCTTCAATTTCACTTTCCCCTGCTTCTCTGAATCCTTCAATGCTTTCACAGCACTGCTCGACAATTTGATGCCAGATCCTTTAAGCTTTGCCGCCATAACCGTCACATTTCTCCACGGCTGATACAACGCCGGCAATGCGCCTTTGCACAACATTACATCCCCGAAATTGACGCTAATGTTGCTGTTTCTCTCGTAGTCGATTCCGATTTTTTTGTTAGGGTTTTCGGCTCGAACAGTGACGTTAAATTGGGGAGAAATTGAGGCGTTCGGCTTGATCTGCATTCCCTTGGTGGAGATGGCGAGAATGGAGTAGCGAGGAGAGAGAGGTTGGAGGATTAGGAAGAAGAGGCCGGAAACAATGGCGAAAAGGAGGAGGAGTACGGTGATGAGGAGGAGAATGGAGCAGAGAAATCGGCGGCAGAGGGAGGGGCGGGTGTTCCGGCGAGAGTAGAGATCGAAGCGGGTAGCATTTTCGGGAGGAGGAACTCGGTAGACTTGGTCCTTGGGAAGCTGGATGACGTAGGTGCCGGGAGGGGGGTTCTTGGGAGGGATAGCATCGCCGGAGTGTGCAGAAGCGGCATCGGAGTCAGTGGGGTGAACACGTTCGGCCATGGATGAACGCAGAGAGGTTGGAGAAGATGAGATAGATTTATCATAAATGGAAAGAGAGAAGCGGAAGCGCGTAGGGCAGGAAGAAGAAAAAGGAAAGAGGTGAGCTGCTCCGGCTACTCTGTTTTGTTTACTTCCATCTATTATTATTATTATTATTATTATTATTATCATCATTATTATTATTATTATTATTCTTATTATTATTATTATTATTTTAATTATGACGTGAAGTCGTGAATGCATCACCTATTTTTAAATAATTTCTGATATTTTTCTGTCCTTACTACTCTCCCTCCCTTTCTTTTCTTTTTTAAATAATTATTTATTTGACAACTTCAAAATTTTTTATTTTTTATTCCTTAAAATTAAGCACTACTTTTCCATATTTATTTCGTTTACTCTACTTTCTAATTAACGTACCAATTTCTTTTTTCTTTTTCACACATAAATTTAAATGTATTTATATTATTTTGATTTTTTTTTCTTTTTCTTTTTCACAAATAAGTTTAAATGTATTTATATTATTTTAATATATATTTTTTCTTCTCCTTTTTCACACATAAGTTTAAATGTTTTTTTTATTATTATTATTATCCTCTCGGTAAAAAATTAAGATTTTTCTTTACTGACTAAATGAAATAGAATAAAGATTCAATTTTTATCTCATGGTCAAATGAGGAATATTCTATTTTTCATCCCACCAAAAAATTCGATGGGTTATAATTTGACATTTAAAAAACAAAAAAAAATATAATAATAATGAAATAAATTATCAGAGACATGGACTTCCGATTTTAAATTTAATTATCTTTGAGATAATGATTCTCAACTTCTTAATAAAAGCATTGATCTATGATATTTAGTGCACTGATGCTTATTTTATATTAGTCAACATGGTTCAATAATTAATAATATTCTTGATAAAAAAAAATATAACTAAGAAGAATAGTTAATGAAATATGTAACATGTAACTACATTATTTCCTTGTACCATTTTACATAAGCTTATGTACGGAAAAGGCATCTTTTCCATCTGAAAAGAGGGATTTAAATTCATGTTTAGTTAGGTCGGGAGCTCTTTTTTATGTGAGTGTGGAGAAAAGTGGAACTTTTTGGAGCACATTTACACGAAACTTCGTTTCGTTGTAGGGGTGTGCTCGCAGCTTAATATTTTGACAACAGAGGAAACAAGACGAGACTAGAATTGCAGCGCCACCCGAAAGTTAAGCCAGAAACAAAATAACAGGTGATATTCATGTCCGCCACGAGAAGGCAGTTCGTTCAACTTCAAGTACACTATACGATTACGCTGCTAGTTTTCGACCAGGGAAATCAAAAGCCTCCTCTCCTTGCTGGGTTTATATATACTGAACAGGCAAGGTAAGGCAAGGCCGGCAGCACAAAATATAAAGACTTCAGGTTTTGTTAAGAAACTACACTCCCTACCAACACTCCCTACTAAATAAAAAGGTTCTCCCATCTATAGAGCAGCCTACCATCACCTGTGCAGTAGTAAGTCAGGACGCCACAAAACTAGACACTAATTTACGAGGGGACACCAGCAGTCCAGCCCTCTCAACAGAAGAACATGGAGTTGCAAACCTTCTCCTGCAACCTGGGTAGTTGGGGAACAGGAACTGCCCCAGCACTTGTCAACCCACCGTCACTCGACGTTGTCTCTGACGATTCGTCATACTTGATGAACTGGCCAATCTGAGTGGCCGCCAAGTGTGCATAGCAAACTGGGGCAACTGCACCAATGGGATAAGAACACAATATTAACGCTACGACTTTGTTTCGACTTCAACAATTCGGTATAATCAAACTCGAGCAATCTTAAATAATGGATTCCTTACCTACAGAAATAGCAGTAGTACTTCTTTGGTATCTGTACAGGTAAAAAAAACACAATTACAGAAACCATATTTATGAATCTGTGAATG